AAAGACATAATATGTTGCTTCAGCGGAAGCTAGTAAGGAAATGTTGTGGTTAAAGCGGTTTCTCCAAGAAATGAGTATTAAGCAAAGGGAATACAAGGTACAATGTGATAGTTAGNTAATATGTTGCTTCAGCGGAAGCTAGTAAGGAAATGTTGTGGTTAAAGCGATTTCTCCAAGAAATGAGTATTAAGCAAAGGGAATACAAGGTACAATGTGATAGTTAGAGTGTTCTGGACTTGAGCAAGAACTCAATGTACCATTCTCGGACGAAGCATATTGATATTAGCTATCATTGAATATGTGAGGCGATGGAGCAACAATTGTTGAAATTTGTGAAAATCCACACAAAGAAGAATCCAACCGACATGTTGATAAAGGTGATTATTTAGGTGAAGCTTGAGCTATGCAGAGACATAGTCGGTATGAATGTCTAGTTACATTCTCTTCTAATGGTTCTGGAGGGGGAAAATTGAATGATCTAGAAGCATTATCCTGAAGCTTTTGCCGAAAAATTTGTCGCCGAAAATTTTTCTGCTATAGTTTTTGTTGGGTGGAATTTTTGGGAGCCCTCCATTTTTTTTTTCAATAGAAAGTCCCTATAAATAGAGAGCTTAATGAAAGCAAAAATCATTCCAAAATATTGAGGAAGAAACAAAGGAGAGAGAGAGAGAGAGATCTTGAGAATTTTCTTATGAGAAATTCTTGTATTCATTTCCTTAGAGAGAAATAAAGTATTCCTCTTTGTTTATATTGTGTTAGATGTGATTTTTTGACCCTGGGTCACCAACAAGAAATCTAATTGCATATGAACAGTTTCTTCCCAATATCCATACAAGATATATCACCGATTATATTAGATAATGATGTCATGGTTTGCGGCATGTTAAACAAGCTTCTCAATGGTGTCACACTCTCTAAGAATTTCTCTTACGCTGAAGTTTTCAACAACGTGAATAAGCATTGCAAGTCCCTTGCATCTATAACATATATTAAAAGTAACCACAAAGGAATAAAGAGAAGTCTGAATGATAGTATAATATAAAATCTTGACAACACAAGCCTGGAGAGACTGTGTTTAGTGCCAAAGGCTTTTGCAAGTAAATAGAAAATAATAATAATCTTGCATATAATATGTAATTAATCCTTAGAAAAGGGTTTGGAAGAACTTACTTGATAAGCAGGCTCTTTAGTCCTCCAAAGAGATGTTCTTAGAAAAACACAAAAGAAAACAAGAAGCTATTGCTCATGATAGATCAGAAGGAGAAACAATTCTTTATTTACAAGCACTGATATTTTCTTTTCTTTTTTTTTTTTTTGTTTTTTAGTTTACATGTAACATTTCTGTGTTCGTTACATTATTTCTTCATATGATTATTTGTTCAAAATAAGTTACATAATATCTTCATATGAATGGTTCAAAATGATACTAAAAATTACTTTAATTCAATTCAACTCAATAATTTTTTTCTACTTTTTGGTATTATAGACCTATCATAGTAAAAACTTGGAGTTGCAAGGATCTAATTTTTTCCTGCGGTGAAAATATGAACCGATTATGGTCTCCTCTATCCTTCTCTTGTAATATTTGAACACTCGCAATAACCATGTGTTTGAAGACACTCCGTAATATCAAAATCGAGCATTGATCATACAATGTTTATATTTTAAATAATAATTTATTTTTTCTTTAATTACGTAATTAAAAATAATAGTGGACATGGAGAAAATAAGATTGAAGTAAGGGAGAGAGAAGAGAGGTAGATTTGAGTTATTGGAGATTTCTAGTATTGATGAGTTTGTTAGTTGGGTTGTTTAACAATAAAGGCTGTGTAGAGAAAATGATGTTTTTAGGCCGAATTTTTTAATTTTTTTGTAATAAATTTTATACCGTTAGATGAAATTTGATGAATATTGAATTAATTTTAACCGTTATTTTACTTTTATAAATGTAAAATTTAAATTGGTAGCTAAAAGATAGATTTGAGAAGTGATGTGGTGAGGACCCACCTTAAATTTTTGTAGGAAAAATTCCATTTTCGTAAGAACTAGTCAAAGCAATTTTCATTGAAGGCATAAAATGGACTGTTAATACCATCATAAAATCACTTTGAATTTAGCACGTGTCAATTTTTCTTTTTTTCTTTTCTTTTTTAAGTTGTTTATATCTTCACATAGAAGAACAATCATTGCAGAATTAAGAAAATTTCGACAAAGCAATTTCAAAAATTAGACTACTTGAGCAAAAGTAACAAATATTGTGATAATTGATCTATAGAGCTATATAACACAGGAAGCAAATAGAGAAAAAAAAACATAATGATACTTGTATATATTGAAAATTCATAGGATTGGATTTTGAAGAACTTACTTGATATGTTTTTCAGCGCTCTACAGAAATATTATGTGAAGATGTGACAAGAAAGAAGAAGAAAATGAAGAAGAAGAAGAAGAAGAAGAAGAAGTAGAAGTAGAAGCAACTCATGATAGAAAGGGAGCTAGAAAGAATTCTCATTTATAGCAAAATGTAAAATTAATAACAATAATTGAAAGTGCAAGACGACAAAAATAATAACTCAAAGGGGCAGTATGAGATAAAGGCTATAGTTCAAAGAATCAAAGTGTACTTCTTTCCTCTTACTTGTAATGTTGTGGTACAAAGACCTCGTCAATGTCTCCTCCGTTTTTTTTTATTTATCATTGAAAAAGTGTGACGGTTATTTCAAAAATTCAGCATTTAATTTTTATCTAATATCATATCAGATACGGTACTCAAATATATGTATCAGATATATACCAAACATATTTAATAATAAATAAAATATATGGATACTTCATGGATACTTCTATGTGCAGAGAATTATATGTAATTTTTATTTTTAATCTTTACTCATTCTTTTTGATTTTACATACGATACAATACATTAACAAAAATTTATTATCACATGTCCCATGATTTTAAATGAGTTGATTACTCTTTAATCTTAACAACAAATACTTCTAAACAAACAATATAATTAAATGTTGGTTCTTATTCTTTTAATTAATCACGTTCATTTTGTAAAATGTATCTTAATGAGACGATAGATAATTTTTTTAAAAAAAAATTGTTAAAGTTGTTTATTATTGTTAAAAAAATTACTAAAAATTATAGACATCAAGTCTTTACATAATAATAAAATATATATTTTATAGATGTATCCTAACCGTACTTGTTCTAATTGTCTAGTGCCATGTAAGAATCAACAACAATACATCATCATTCTGGCTTTGAAGTGGATGTTATAGGCGCGTCATTCGTTTTTAACTAAAAAGTATTTTTATCAAAATAATTGTCAACTTCATATTTTTTAAGGTTTATCACTTAATCATTTTTTCATATATTTGAAATATTACACACAGACTTCTGAAAATTTGTACCCGTGTAACAACTTAGATACATCCAAATATTCCATTAGATCCTTGTCGTCAATGTCTGTTAGTAAACTATATTCATTCTCCCTGAAGTTTATAATCGTGTAATATTTAGACCCCTTAAGTTTAAAATATTATATTTAGACCACAAATATTCTAATTAAAGATAGAATATCAAATATTTTAAATCTTACAATCAAAATTTATGTTTTATTATGACATTTTATTGAAATAAATTAAAAATAAAAATACAATTATACTATCTATTAGAATTTAATTTGGTCGTTTAAAGAACAAAATTAAACTAGCAAATTACCCCAATTAAAGCTAGAATATGTTGTGTTCATTATAGTTTGACCCGTTGTTTGATTTTTTAGTTTTATTCCAATAGATAGTATAATTGTATATTAATTATGATTTTTTAAGAAAAAAATGACTTTTTATTTTTGATTTTATTTCAATAAATAATACAACAGAACATAAATTTTGGTTTTAAAATTTAAAATATTTAATATTCTATCTTTGATTGTAATATTTTTAATCTAACTATAACATTTTAAAATTGAGGGGTCTAAGTATTATACGCTTACAAATTTTAGAGGATAAGGGTGTAATTTACTAATAGATATATTAACAGACATTTGATGACAAGAGGTTAAGTGTTACGCTCGTATAAACTTCAAGGGATCTGTGTGTAATATTTCAAATATCATGAAGTGTAAGTGATTAAATTACAAACTTCAAGAGTTCTAGTTATAATTCTCTAAAATATTTTTGATTGAATATGGAGATATCAATTCATTTGATTAAAATTTTGGTAAGCATAATATTATTAATGTGAGAAAAAAAATTGACAAGGATGCCTTTGTCCACGAATCTAGAAGGCCAAGTCAATGAAGTCCTCCTCTATCGAGTTTTAAAGTAGAGGTAGTTAATCAATTGCTTTCATTTCCCTCTCTTTCTTCTTCCACCCGTTTCTAATGAATATTATTAAAAAACGACTAAGCTCAGTAGACAATTGACCTGTGTTGTCCACCACCACCGCATTACCTACTGTACAAATAAAGAAAAGACTGAGGAGGAGACATTGATCAGGTCTCTCTCCCACGGCAGTACAAGTAAGAGAGAAAAAGTACCCTTTGATTCTTTGAACTATAGCCTCTAGCTCTTATTGCCCCCTCAGTTATTATGTTTTTCATATTTTACTTTCAATTGTAGTTATTAATTTTACATTTCACTGTAAATTTGAAGGAAAGATGTCTGAATTTTTTCTCTTTGAATTAAATCAGTTTTTTACTATGTCCAAATACNATTATTGGAGGCATTATACAGTATTTATAGAATTGTTCCTTGATGTGTGGGATCTTTGCCGAGATCATAGTCTTTCATCCGTGGATTACTCCTTGATTTTTGGATAATATCTTGGTTGGTTGAAGGTTTTTGTTCCTTGGATATGGCTCTTGGCCGCTTACTGGGTTCCAGCTAACATCTAGCTGTTCCCTTATCATTTATGTTATTGTCTCGTCTGCGTGTCTTGCCTGACCTCCTTGTCTGACTTCCACGCCTAAGCTCATACTTTGAAAGTTATTCTATGAATCATCAAACTTAATATCCAACAAACTAACACTTCCCTTTGCCTCCTTTAACTGAATTCTGGCTTCTTGGAGTTCTGTGGTACAATTTATGAACTCCCACTCCTCATCATCATCACCAACAACATTTCTATGAGACACCATCTGAGCAATTGATAAACACAAACAATCATGTGCCAAGCCAAGTATATGGTTCACATCTTTGATTGTCATCCAAGGAGAAACGTCTGGATTTACTTTAAATTTACTAAAGAAGTCCACTAAGAAAGAATGAGTTAGACTCATGATGGAGCATTGTGGGTATGAAGTTTTGATCATGTCAAATAATTGAACTACGACAAAGAGTGGAAGTTGATTTTCGTATAAAAATAAATCATGAATTAGGCCAAATTGAACCTGATTCATGGTGAGAGGGTCACCCTCGTTTACCAAATTATGGAAATTGTATTTTACGATAAACTCGAGGAGAAACCATCCGTCAAGAAGCATCATTTCCACAAACTCATTATCACTAAGACTGATTGGTTCTGCACATTTGCGCGCTCTATCTTTTAGGTCTCTCATGGCCATGTAGTATCTTTCGACACTTGACTCTTGCGCTCATGTAAGGAACTCTTGTAAATACTGCAATTTGTGTTCTTCCATCGCCTGCAGGTTGGGTTTCCCATGGTGATATGGACCAGTGGCGATTATTTCAGGTTCGTATGCTTTCACATTTATCCTGCACAAATGATCATACACTCTGAAGAGGTTATGTTCAGAGGGTATTGGAGATAAGCGAGCAAGTTTCTGGTCTATACTTGTATAGGAATGATCATCACTTTGTTCGGACATGATTTACTCCTTGAAGCAAAATATAAGGTTCCTATGGCAAACATGTTTTGATGAAAAGACAGTTGAGTTCTCATCCCTAAAATCAAAATTTGGAAAATATTACCACAACATGGCAAAGTTTGAAAGATATTTCCCACNTAAGGTCAGTCAGAGGAAGAAAATTTGTAACTAAAGAAAAAGAAAGTCATAGATGAATTTTTTTTTTTGACATGCACATGTGTAATAGGCAGTTGTTTATTATCAGTACAGACCACTCATATGTGCATTTACTGTCAAAAAATTGAAAGTCGTTATCTATTAGAGTGATATAAAATAAAATTAATATTTTATGATGTAATGTAAAAAATGTTATAATTGGGAGTGTAAAGTGCAACAAAGGTAATATTTCAATGGATAAATTGTAATTTAAAGGGACATTTCTAAAGCAACCAGTAACAACTTATACAAACATTGAATTGGAAGTAGGATCCAAATCATGGTTTAAGAATCGATTAAAATTGGGACAATTCTATCACTCCATAAATCATATTTAGTCAAAAAAAGAAGTTCACAAAAAAAGAAGGATGGGGATTGAGCAAAAAATATAGTTTGTGCCACAGTAAGTAAAAATAGTATAATATTAGCAACAACTAAAATGATTGTTGTGAGTGTTTTTATCACTATCGTGGTACCGANGTTCACAAAAAAAAAAAAAAAGAAGTTCACAAAAAAAGAAGGATGGGGATTGAGCAAAAAATATAGTTTGTGCCACAGTAAGTAAAAATAGTATAATATTAGCAACAACTAAAATGATTGTTGTGAGTGTTTTTATCACTATCGTGGTACCGAAGAAAAATGATAAAAATAGTATCACAATAATAATAAAAATATTCACAAGAATAATAAAAATACACACAAAAGTGGTAAACCATATACAAAAGTGGTAAACCATCTACAAAANATCACATTGTTGAAAACTTCAGTGCAGCAGAGGTAGCCAAAAAAATGCTAAGATAAATGCATTCGGCACTTATTAATTAAACTAGTTTGATAACTAAAATTTTAATATCTTAATATATTAAATTCTCCTTAAAAATAGGCTATAATATTAAATATGAGACTTTTTACTTAATTTTGAAAGTTGAAAGCATTTAGTAAAACTATTTTTAATAATATTTACAAATGACAATTCTACTCCTAAATATTTCACAAGCCTATCAAAACTCTAATAAGTTTTTTCTCCAAAACCCCTAACCTATCTATCCTCGTTGTCGTCTTGATCGTCTTCTTCAGCGAGTGATACACGTAAGTCTTCTTTCTTGACTTCTTCCCTTGTCTTCTACAATATTAAATAGTCTTTTATCATTGTTGTGAGTGTTTTTTATCACTATTGTGGTACCGAAGAAAAATGGTAAAAATAGTATCACAATAATAATAAAAATATCCACAAGAATAATAAAAATACACACAAAACTGGTAAACCATATACAAAAGTGGTAAACCATTTACAAAAGTGATAATTTTGTTTGTACCAAAGAAAAGTGATAGCATAACAGTGATAAAAACACCTACAACATCGATAAAAACACCTATCAAAGTAATAAATCACCCACAAAAGTAATAATTTTTTTTATTATAAAATGACCTACAAAAATTATAAAAAATCCTATTAAAAAAATAAAATTTGAAAGTACAATACCATTTTTTTTTGATACCGTAGTCAAGTCCTAGGATTAAATGTGAAATAATATTAATATTAGTGGACAAATTTATAATAATAATGGACAAAATTACAACATTAATAAAAAATTTACAAGAGTAGTGGGAAAAATTATCACAATAGTAGTAAAAAATACAACATCAGTGCAAAATTTACAACAATGGTGAGCAAAATTACAACATCAATAGACAATTTACTATAGTAATAGGCAAAATTACTACAATAATGGCAACTTTTTACCACCATTTGAGGCACCATAACTATATTTTGTGGATTTGTGATTGATCAGTAATATTGATCGATCGATCAAGTAGTTGCACATTGAGTCATAATATTAATCAAAATAGTCATAAATTAACCACAAAACTTGTAAATTAATTCATAATTGTTGTAAATTGACCCCTTAGAGGTGGTAAATCTATCCTTAATTGGGAAAAATTGCCCACAATTTTACTATATTTCACTCTAGTGACTTGTGATCGATTACAAACGTATTGTTTTTCAAAAAAATTTGGGAGGGACTACTGCAATCTTGCGATTGATTACAAGATCTTACGATAGATTGTAAATATTTTGGAGATATAAAAATAATAACTTCGATATATTCTGAATAATAATTTTGATATATTCTAAAAAATAATAATAATTGCGATATATTCTTAAAAATAATAATTGGGATAGATCGTTGTCAACTTTATTTATTAAGATCTAATTTCATCAAATTGATCATTAATTTTATCATGTCAAAATTCAATTTTATCAAATTAACATCAAATTCACCTTCAATTTTACTTATTAAAATTTAATTTCATCAAATTTATACCAAGTGATATTTAAATATAAATTATAAAGGGTGTTAGTAACGGTCAATTTGGTGATAATTTCAAATTTAAGAATTTTATTGTTAATTTAGTAAAATTGACAGTCAATTTGGTGATAATTTGATGAAATTGACAGTCAATAACAATATGCCTTTCATGCAACTAAGTTTTCTCTGCCATTATTGGAGGCATTATACAGTATTTATAGAATTGTTCCTTGATGTGTGGGATCTTTGCCGAGATCATAGTCTTTCATCCGTGGATTACTCCTTGATTTTTGGATAATATCTTGGTTGGTTGAAGGTTTTTGTTCCTTGGATATGGCTCTTGGCCGCTTACTGGGTTCCAGCTAACATCTAGCTGTTCCCTTATCATTTATGTTATTGTCTCGTCTGCGTGTCTTGCCTGACCTCCTTGTCTGACTTCCACGCCTAAGCTCATACTTTGAAAGTTATTCTATGTATCATCAAACTTAATATCCAACAAACTAACACTTCCCTTTGCCTCCTTTAACTGAATTCTGGCTTCTTGGAGTTCTGTGGTACAATTTATGAACTCCCACTCCTCATCATCATCACCAACAACATTTCTATGAGACACCATCTGAGCAATTGATAAACACAAACAATCATGTGCCAAGCCAAGTATATGGTTCACATCTTTGATTGTCATCCAAGGAGAAACGTCTGGATTTACTTTAAATTTACTAAAGAAGTCCACTAAGAAAGAATGAGTTAGACTCATGATGGAGCATTGTGGGTATGAAGTTTTGATCATGTCAAATAATTGAACTACGACAAAGAGTGGAAGTTGATTTTCGTATAAAAATAAATCATGAATTAGGCCAAATTGAACCTGATTCATGGTGAGAGGGTCACCCTCGTTTACCAAATTATGGAAATTGTATTTTACGATAAACTCGAGGAGAAACCATCCGTCAAGAAGCATCATTTCCACAAACTCATTATCACTAAGACTGATTGGTTCTGCACATTTGCGCGCTCTATCTTTTAGGTCTCTCATGGCCATGTAGTATCTTTCGACACTTGACTCTTGCGCTCATGTAAGGAACTCTTGTAAATACTGCAATTTGTGTTCTTCCATCGCCTGCAGGTTGGGTTTCCCATGGTGATATGGACCAGTGGCGATTATTTCAGGTTCGTATGCTTTCACATTTATCCTGCACAAATGATCATACACTCTGAAGAGGTTATGTTCAGAGGGTATTGGAGATAAGCGAGCAAGTTTCTGGTCTATACTTGTATAGGAATGATCATCACTTTGTTCGGACATGATTTACTCCTTGAAGCAAAATATAAGGTTCCTATGGCAAACATGTTTTGATGAAAAGACAGTTGAGTTCTCATCCCTAAAATCAAAATTTGGAAAATATTACCACAACATGGCAAAGTTTGAAAGATATTTCCCACCAAACAACTACTCAACTAGTTTTATGTTGTACATGCATGATTGCTATTTTTTAATCGAAACAAAAAAAAAATAAAAGAGGTAAAATCATGTCAAATTCTTCTTCATTATATGAAGGAAGGAAAGGCAAGCGAGGAAATGTTTTATAGCAAAGCCATACATTTTAGATTCATGGTTGAAAAAATGTTTAACACGGATTTCAGTTAATATTTTTTCAAAAGTAGAGCACTCAATGTGCATTAGTGAAAAGCTCAATTACATATAATCAGGCCTACTTGAATTTTTGAAGAGCAGCCTACACTTGAGATAAATCATATTGGATGGGATCGAAATCTTTTTCTAATAGTGACTTCATTATGCCTTGTCATGTTAACCCAAACAAGGTGATCAAGGACTAATATTGATGTAGAAATGGATGTGGTTTTGACAATTCTATCAAATAATCCACAAGAGGATTGCAATTTTTTATCTCATGAACTTTCAAGGCATATAATTAACATACTGAAAATGAATGCAAATAAACCGAGCCAATTCAAGTCATCTCGTTAATGAAGAGGATGATTATAATAGTATTTTTTTAAAACACAATTGTATATCAGTATTAAAGGCTAATCCAAAGAGAGACAAGACAAAGGTCCTGATAGAGAGTAGAGTAAAACATCCAGAGAGGGATAGAATAGATCAATCTTTGTGTTTGATAAGAATCGACCCCTAACCTTCTATTTGAGAACGTCGGCTTGGCCAATTGTATAGACCCTGTTGGTTGATTATGAGAGTGATTTGGGTACTAATTATCTGGCATGTGAAAACTGTGAAACAAAAAGAAAGATAATATAAGGCAAACAAAGGTTTGAAACTTAATTGTTTGAATTTTCACTCACATGCTCGTCTGCTATATCTTTTCTTTAGACTTGATTTTCCCTTCTTTCTACACTTGATTTTATAGTAATTTAGAATTCTTTGCTACTCAATTCACGCAATCTATATGGTTCAAAGAATTTTCTTTAATAAAAGTGAGACAAAGGACAATAATTGTCCAAAATCAAGAATAT